ATAACACACAGACAGGAGTTTAGATGGATAGATGGATAGATAGATGGATAGACAGACAGACAGACAGACAGACAGCTGACCTGCAGATGTGCGGCAGCAGCGAGTCCAGCGTGGTTGAAGTCCACAGACAGCACCATGGCGAATCGAGACGAGGCCTCACTGTGAGTTGAGCTCACACAACCGAACGAACGCAGCACTGTAAACACTGCCTGCAGACGCTCTACTGCAGAGACACACACACACACACACACACACACACACACAACTATTAACTTCACAAGTGACAAACCGAACTAAACGTTGATAAACACATCATAGGCCCCGTTTACACTAGTGCGTTTTAGTTTGAAAACGCATAAGTTTTGCTACGGTTACGCCATCCGTCCACACTACGCCGGAGTTCTCGAGCGCCGAAAACGGAGCTTTTTGAAAACGCTGGAAAGGCCGTTTTCATTCTAAAACGCTGCTGCTCCGTCTCAGTGTGGATGGGGAAAGACGGAGAAATCTGAAAACGGAGGCGGGGCTGCAAACGTTCGCCTATCTGATTGGGGCTTTTCCTCAATATTAAGTAGCCTAACACCCAGTTCAGTCTCGCATCCTCTTCTTGTAAGTTAAGACTTCGCAAGTTTGAGCAAGGCTGCAGTCTCCCCCTTCTCAGTTTGATATGGAAAACATACAGAGGACACGGGTAAATCTTCAAAGGGAACAGTGTACTTTATAACTTCATTCACATCACCTTGGCTACGTTGTTTCACTTTCTGAACAATAAAATGTAAACATGATTAAGGAACTGCCTATTTTCTTTTTAATATTAGCAACTAAACAGACAGCAGAAATGTTGAGGCGCCGTTCTGCATATATGAGTGTCATCTTCACTGTGTGGATATTTATAACAAAACGGAGCCGATAACAACTGCCTCCTTTCAATTTCAGTGAAAATACGAAACGCACCCTCTCTTTTGCTGAACATCAGTTTTAATAAACGATAATTATAAAAGTATAACATACAATAAGTTTATACATTGTAGGAAATAAAGGCAAGCGATCAGTCAATATACCTGGATTAATCATTAACTTATCTTTGCGCTTAACCAAAACATGTTACTATGAGGTGCCGTATAGGATTTAAATCAAACTTTGCTTATCAACACATACATAAAACACGTGTATATACACCTATAAATTACTCGCATATACACCTATACAACTGGATGTTCAAAACAACATGGATGAAACTTGTGTATATACATATAAACTTGACGCATGAATACACCCACATACACACGCACATACATATAAACTCGATCCTCACATAAACACTCACATTAACACACGCACATACATATAAACTTGCTGCATGCAAACACACCTATACACCCGTGAACAAGTAACTTAATAGATTCCAATGACCAAAGTCAGAGAATTGGCCTATGTCGTTAGATAAAGACAACAACATGAATGAAATATCACGTTTAGCAAATATAGTGAGATTAGATCCAGCGGGAGATGCGTGATGAGCAGTCCGACAAGCAGAGCTCTCATCTGGGTAGAAATGCTGGAGCGCTTGCCCGAGAGTGTGTGTGTGGTCACGTGATGTGCGTTTTCAGCGTTTTGGTGTGGACGGAGAGCAGTTCAGAAACGCTGGGTAAAACGCGAGTGTGGACGCGGATCGTTTTCATTCTACAACGCCGTTTTAAAACTAAAACGCACTAGTGTAAACGGGGCCATAGTGAGAAAGACGCTGCTGTAATCACTGGATCAGAGCCTGTAAACAGCAGCAGAGAAACACTCGACGCCTTATTTTCTAACACATACAGCCTAGTTCACACTACATGATATAAAACATTGACAGACCGCTGTGCCGTTTATCGCTGTGGTGTTCATACTACACAACAGATAGATGGATGAATAGATGGATGAATGGATGGATGAATGGATGGATGGATGGATTAATCGATGGATGGATGGATCGAAGGACGAAGGGATGGATGGATGGATGGATGGATAGATGGATAAATGAATGGATGGATGAATGGATGGATGGATGGATGGATGATGGATGAATTGAAGGACGAATGGAAGGATGAATAGATGGATGGATGGATAGATAGATGGATAAATGAATGTATGGATGAATGAATGGATAGATGGATAGATGGATGGATGGATGGACAGATGGATGGATGGATAAATGGATGAATGAATGGATGGAGGAATGGGTGGATGGATAAATGAATGGATGGATGAATAGATGGATGAATGGATTAATCGATGGATGGATGGATGGATGGATGGATCGAAGGATGAAGGGATGGATGGATGGATGAATGGAAGGATGAATGGATGGATGGATTGATTGATGAATGGATGGATGGATAGATGGATAAATGAACGGAAGGATGAATGGATGGATGGATGGATTGATGAATGGATGGATGGATAGATGGATAAATGAATGGATGGATGAATGGATGGATGGAGGATGGATGAATTGAAGGACGAAGGGATGGATAGATGAATAGATGAATGGATTGATGAATGGATGGATGGATGGATAGATAGATGGATAAATGAATGGATGGATGAATGAATGAATAGATGGATGGATGGATCGATGGACAGATGGATGGATGGATAAATGGATGAATGAATGGATGGAGGAATGGATGGATGGATAAATGAATGGATGGATGAATAGATGGATGAATGGATTAATGGATGGATGGATGGATGGATGGATGGATGGATGGATGGATGGATGGATGGATGGATGGATGGATGAATCGAAGGACGAAGGGATGGATGGATGGATGAATGGAAGGATGAATGGATGGATGGATTGATTGATGAATGGATGGATGGATAGATGGATAAATGAATGGATGGATGAATGGATGGATGGATGGATGGATGGATGATGGATGAATTGAAGGACGAAGGGATGGATAGATGGATGGATGAATGAATGGAAGGATGAATGGAAGGATGAATGGATAAATAGATGAATGGATTGATGAATGGATGGATGGATAGATAGATGGATAAATGAATGGATGGATGAATGAATGGATGGATGGATGGATCGATGGACAGATGGATGGATGGATAAATGGATGAATGAATGGATGGAGGAATGGATGGATAAATGAATGGATCGATGGATGGACAGATGAATGGATGAATTGAAGGATGCATGGATGGATGGATGGATGGATGAATGGATGGATGGATGGATAAATGAATGGATAGATGGATGAATGAATTGATGGATGAATGGATGGATAAATGAATGGATGGATAAATGAATGGATAGATGAATGAATGGATGGATGAATGGATGGATGGATAGATGAATGGATGGATAGTGTGAACTGGGCTTGAGTAAGCCTAGAAGGTTTCTGCAGTGGTGTTAGTACTAGGAATAACTAATGGCAGTAAACATGAAGTGAAGCTGCATGTGCGACAAACAAGCTGTCAAAAAATTATGATGTAATTATGATACAAAAATAGCAGTTTGCAATGTCCAGCACTGCTTTGTACGGCCACAAATGAATAGAAGTGAATGAGACTGAAAGTACTGGTTTCCATTTAAAGAGATTGGATTAGATTCTGCTGTGTTGTCATATCATATGTAGTGTGCAGGGTACTGGAATGCAGAAGCTCCTTTTAACATGGGAAAGATAAACAGAGATGCGCTCACAGGTCAGGCTTCCTCCTGCTGTTCCCGCTTGTTTGAGCAGCTCCAGGGAGAATGATTGACAGGCGGTGGTTTTCCCTGAGCCGCTGCGACCCAAAGCCACCAGTGTCTGGTCCCTCCGCTGACCCAGCATGGACACGTACACCTTCCTCACCACAGCCTGCAGCGGGCCAGGGGCTTCCCAGGACTCCCAGCGCCGGCTCCGAAAACTCTGAAGCAGAAAGCAGATACATTACCATCTACAAAGGGTATGTTTAATGCACTGATTATCTAAATCATGGACAACGTGCTAGAGTTTAAAGATTTTATTTTTAAATTGGAGCGCTGTCTTTCCATGGTGCATTAAAATAATGATTAGTTTTTAAGATTTATTTACAGTCTACCATTGACATTTATGAAAGCTTGTTTCTTCAGACAAAGAGGTAACTTTTCTTAAGGCAATTTTTCTTTCTACAAATGTGAGTTTATACACTCACTGGCCCCTTTATTAGGTACACCCTACTAGTAGAGGGTTGAACCCTGTTTGCCTTCGGAACTGTCTTAATCCTTTGTGGCGTAGATTCAACAAGCTACTGGAAATATTCCTCAGAGATTTTGCTCCATATTGTCATGATAGCATCACACAGTTGCTGCAGATTTGTCGGCTGCACATCCATGATGTCAATCTCCCGTTCCACCACATCCCAAAGCTGCTCTATTGGATTGAGCTCTGGTGACTGTGGAGGCCATTTGAGTACAGTGAACTCATCGTCATGTTCAAGAAACCAGTCTGAGATGATTGAGCTTTATGACATGCTGCGTTATCCTGCTGGAAGTAGCCATCAGAAGATGGAGACACTGTGCTCATAAAGGGATGGACATGGTCAGCAGCAATACTCAGGTAGGCTGTGGCGTTGATGCTCAATTGGTACTAATGGACCCAAAGAAAATCTCCCCCACACCATTACACCACCACCACCAGCCTAAACCGCTGACACAAGGCAGGATGGATCCATGCTTTCATGTTGTTGAGGCCAAATTCTGACCCGTAAAATCCGACAGCAGAAATGGAGACTCATCAGAGCAGCAACGTTTCTCCAATCTTCTATTGTCCAGTTTTGGTGAGTCTGTGTGAATTGTAGCCTCAGTTTCCTGTTCTTAGCTGACAGGAGCGGCACCCGGTGTGCTCTTCTGCTGCTGTAGCCCATCCGCCTCAAGGTTGGACGTGTTGTGTGTTCAGAGATGCTCTTCTGCAGAGCTCGGTTGTAACGAGTGCTTATTTGAGTTACTGTTGCCTTTCTATCAGCTGGAACCAGTCTGGCCATTCTCCTCTGACCTCTGGGACCAACAAGGCATTTGTGCCCACAGAACTGCCGCTCACTGGATATTTCCTCTTTTCCATTTTCTGTAAACTCTAGAGATGGTTGTGCATGAAAATCCCAGTAGATCAGCAGTTTCTGAAATACTCAGAGCAGCCCGTCTGGCAGCAACAACCATGCCACATTCAAAGCCACAGAGCAGTTGGAGAGGTGTACCTAATAAAGTGGCCGGTGAATGTATCTCACAATTCAGACATTCTTAAATGTTTTTTTTGTTTGTTTGTTTTTAGAGTTTGTCTCTAAATGAAGCTTTTTTGAGAGTTTTTATATTTTTCAATTTCAATTTAAAAAAACAATTTTGATTAATAATCACAACCCTTAAAAAAACAAACATAAAAAACTCAAAATGTAAACTGAATTTAATAGAGAGATTTTTCAACACATTTCTAACGGATTTTGTTAATCTACACCATGATGACAGCACATAATATTAGACTAGATATTCTTCAAGACACTAGTATTCAGCTTAAAGTGACATTTAAAGGCTTCACTAGGGTAATTAGGCAAGTTAGGGTAATTAAAACAAACATTGTTTAACAAGGTGAATAATATTGACTTTAAAACAATTAAAAACTGCTTTTATTTTACTTGAAATAAAACAAATAAGACTTTCCCCACAAGAACAAATATTAGAGGAAATACTGTGAGAAAATCCTGAATCTGTTCAATATTTGAAAGAGGAAAACATTCACAAGAGGGTGAATCATTTTGACTTCAACTGTATTAAATACGCATATACAATACTAAATAATATTCTGCGCTAAAACAAAATGTAGAAGGTTCTGTAAGCTGACCTTGGTGGATGAAGACACTGGAGGCCAAAGGGCCAGTAGATTGGGTCCGGCGTGGGTCAGCGGTAGATGAGCTTTAGCTCTACTGCTCAAAGTGTGAAGTGCACTCGACTCATTCACACTAACAAGGTCACTCAGGTCCTCACACAGGTCCAGCTCAGGTGGATTCAGCTGGAGAACAGCAGAGGTCAACACTGGTCACATATCATATGACGAGTTTACTACAGGATAATGCACACTTAGATGGCTGTTATTGCTGAATAAACTCAGAGAGGAAGATTAACTTCTAATTTTATGCCATGGGTTAATAATGATCATTCTGACTTTTATAAAAATGATCCATTTTCAATCCAAACAATTCAGATTTTTTGCAATTCTTAATTTGAATTAATAGTTTACAGTATATTTTGCAGCTTATTTTTTCCCACAAAGCTTTGACTTTATTACTAGCAGTTTATTTCTTTATTTCTATAAGTTTATTAACAAACTTAACTCTTATATGTCTATACTTTGTTAATCAACGATGAAAACATTAAGGAAGTGCATACATATGAAATGAACAAAGGTCAATCTGTTTAAGTGAATGCTGAATATCCAGTGGGTTTGTTTTAGAGTGGAATTAGTGGTTGTTTATCAGCCTACATGTATAAGGCTCCGTTTGTTTATTGCAAAACATGCATACAAATTCAAATACTCCAGTATATTCAGAGCACAGAGACACCTGAGATGAAACTGTCACTGCAGTCTCATGGTTCATGTAGTTTTTCCACAATAAAAGCTTCATGGTTGTTTATTTTACCTCATTTGAAGCCATTGAGATACGCTTTGTCTATTTTTGTCTCATTTTCATATGCTTATTTGCTTTAAAACAGTCTGTAATGTTGTGATTCTCCTTGTCAGATCAGATCTACCTAGCCTTACTGCCTAATGACTACAGCCCCATTGACACCCTCTGCCAGTGCATTGATGAAATGAGCAATTGGATGTGCCAAACTTTTCTTCAGTTAAACAAAGAGAAAACTGAAGTCATTGCGTTTGGGAACAAAGATGAGGTTCTCAAGGTGAATGCGTTACCTTGGCTTTAAGGGTCAAACAACAAAAAATAAGGTCAAGAATCTTGGTGTGACTCTGGAGTCAGATCTGAGTTTCAATAGTCATGTCAAAGCAGTCAGTAAATCAGCATACTATCATCTCAAAAACATTGCAAGAATCAGATGCTTTGTTTCCAGTGAAGACTTGGAGAAACTTGTTGATGCTTTTATCAGGAGCAGAGTGGATTACTGTAATGGACTCCTCACTGGTCTTCCTAAAAAGACAGTTAGACAGTTGCAGCTCATCCAGAACGCTGCAGCCAGAATTCTGACCAGAAGCAGGAAATCAGAGCACATCACACCTGTCCTCAGGTCTCTACACTGGCTGCCAGTTACATTCAGAATAGATTTTAAAGTATTATTACTGGTCTATAAATCACTAAATGGCCTAGGACCTCAATACATCACAGATATGCTCACTAAATACAAACCCAACAGATCACTCAGATCTTAAGGATCATATAAACTAGAAATTTCAAGAGTCCAGTCAAAGCAAGGTGAATCGGCTTTTAGCCACTACGCCCCTCGCTGCTGGAATCAGCTTCCAGAAATGATCAGATGTGCACCAACATTAGGCACATTCAAATCAAGACTGAAAACACATCTGTTTAGCTGTGCCTTTACTGAATGAGCACTGTGCTGCGTCCGACAGATTGCACTATCATGTTTTTCGTTTTCTTTTTTATTCTTTTATAACACATTATAAATTGTTTTTATCTGTTTTTAATCATTTTTATTGTCTGCATTTTATGTCCTAAACTTGTCTTTTTTTATTCCTGTTTATGTAAAGCACTTTGAATTGCCACTGTGTATCAAATGTGCTATATAAATAAACTTGACTTGCCTTGCCTTGTAAAATGGTTTATGTTAGGGATAAAATACATCCAGTAATCACAGAATAAAGCCTGATGCTGTTGTATAAGACTGGAGGGTTTATTCTGAGAAAACAACCAATGTTTATGTATTTTTATCCAGCTTATCACACAGCTACTTGTCACAAAACCTAAAAAGTTAGACATAAAACATTGTTCTTAGATGTAATAGTTTATTAATTATTTAATTAAATGCAAAGCTGACGGAAACAGAAAACAGCTGATGAGGGATACACTAACCAACACATTTTTCAGCCACTAGATGGCGCCAAACAGTCAAAAATACAAAGCTGACAGAAGTGAAACTGTTTGAATGGAGCACACACCAACCTATGTATTATCCATTCACAAGACAGCTCCAAACAGTAAGAGACACGTCTATGGAACGAATTCACTGAGGGTCAAGGTGATCATCAGTTCCCAGATGAGCCTGTGTTATTTAGCGGTTGTTATCTGGGAACAGCTTTCTTTGAAATGTCACAACTGACCAATCAGAATCAAGAATTCCAAACAAGGTGTATTAAGAATGTTTCCTATATATCATCCAAAAACCAGAGCTACTGGAAAAAGTGGGCGGGCACTAACACTATCCCTAGAACTGACTGACCAATCAGAATCAAGCATTAAAAATACAGCATCGAATGAAACTTACCTTTTCGATCTCATACTGGGACACATCATGAATGGACTGATCAGAGGAGAGTCGAACCCTCACGCGGCCGTCGGGGAGCTCCGGCGTGCCCTCGTCCGGCTTCAGCTGAGTGGCTGAGACAGGTCAGACATGTCAGAGATCAACGTAACGCTCACCGTAAACTGTGTTTTCACTCAATAGGGAACAACAATACATGTGCTAATAATTAATAATGCAATATGTCATCATAATGAACATGCATGACGTTATTCAGTGCACTTTAAAATACTGTGTAAAGCTGAGCAATATGATGATATATATCGTATGGACAAAATAAAAAGTGTACCGTTTCATATTATGCTTTTTCATAATTAATATGAGTGCAATATTACATAAGCCATTTCAGTAATGCAAACAGAAATGTTATTAATGGCATCGTCAGACAGTTTGCATTTTATTTAGCATTTGTTTACATTTTTATTTCATAATTCTACATTCAACATTTGCTCTAAAGTGAGAAATATGATCACATATGAATGAGGAGATTATTGAGTATATACATTAAAATATTTTTAAAAACTGTTTTCTTTG